AGATCAGGAAGGAGGACGCAGAGCAGCCGCTGGGAACAGGTTCCTCTGGGGCAGTGATGCAGAGTGGTCAGAGCGCTGGCTCAGGTTCTGGCCTCACCAGATAGTGCCTGGCTGCCAGGACCCGGCCCTGTGCTGTTTTAACCCTAATCCCTCTGATGCAGTTTTCTCATCCACAAAGCAGCAACCAAACTGACTTCTCATGTGTGTGGGTGAGGACACCCAGCCTAAACGCACTGAAAGCCAGGCCAGCTATGGACCAAGAGGTCACGTGAGGCAAAAAAAAAATTTTAAAAGCGACAGCAACAACAACAACAAACACCTTTTCTATTTGGGTTACGCCAGCTCAAGTCAAATTTTCTGGCTCTCAGGACCAAAAAAATTCCTGATATAATCACATTTACATTCCCATTGAGGCAGCTGAAGAAATAGAAAACCAGACAGGGCAAGCTGTCACTCCAAGATGCACAGCCAAGATCCAACAATGACCTGTCTGCCAACCTCTCAACAACAGCTTTCCCACTACCAATCAAGGCTTCAGGAGCCGCAGTTATTTCTAGTCTAGTGTCTTCCTTCCAGGCAACTCACAAAGACAGGGACTGGTCAGCCAGGGCGGGAAGAAAAGCAGCCTCCGGACCTTGGGCTGATCACCATGGAGGACAATTTCATGGCTCACAGGTCATGTTCCAGAGGCAAAACGTGTGCACGGTTCAGTGGTGCAGATCCCAGGTCTGAGCTTGCTGGAGGGAGGACAGGCGGATAGGGGGCCTCTAATGGGTACATGTCGTCCCCAAGCCTGCAGTTTACAGAACAGTGAGTCTGAGGGGGCGGCAGCCCCAGGAGTTAATCTGGACAGGCCAGAGCACAGCAGGTGCACACCCATCCTCCTGCCACTACTGCCTTCTGCCCTGTATTTTCTGAGTCTTTGACTACTTCTCTTCACTTATCTGCTTTTTCATCTCTTCTACCTCTATTCTTTCCATCACTGGGGAAAAACGGAAATTGTTTACCAAAAATTGCACGAGTGTGATGAGCTTTTGCTGGAGTTTAAGACACCATCGGGGATGTTCACTTGTTGAAATGCCTGTGTCTGGGTCCCACTTCTGCTTCCAATTCCAGCTTCCTCCTAATGTGCCCTGCGAGGCAGCAGGTGATGGTGCAATTGCTCGGTTCCCTTCACCCGGGGAATTCTGGGCTCCTGGCTTCAACCTGGCCTGGCTCTGGCTGTTATAGATATTTGAGCAGTAGATCAGCGTATGGAAGTTCTCTGTCTGCTTTGCTACGTCTCTCCACCTGGCAAATAAAAATGAAAATCAACATTTTAAAAGGAGATGTGTAGAAGGGGACTATAAATACAAACGTCAAGGAACAGACATCAGAACTAGGTAAACCACGAACTGGAACAAGGAGTATAACCTGAAGGGAATGGGAACGGAATACAGCACCATCTGCCAAATGCACTGCTTCATCATTCCTGTGGCTGAGTTGCCTGGTGCTCCAATGAAAAATACACTCATCAGGGCATGGATGTGTGGCTGCCAGCACAGCATTGCTTCCAGGTGACCCCTCTCAACAGGACTGACTCCAGCTTCCCTGCCAGCAGCTGCATGTGAAATTCTACTCTCCCTTGAGGCTGGGCTTCTCATACTTCTAAAACCCCTCACAGCCGTGACAAGCCAGAGCTAAGAGAATTTTCTTTATATATACTGAACATGAATGAACTCATATTTGTCTGGCAATTTGGAAGCATTTCTTTCTGCCTGGGGTTAGTTCTAATATCCACACAGACACAAGACCATTGAGTCCAATGTGGGCAGTAAATGAAGAGAACATCTTGAGTCTCCAGAGCCATTCTGTACTTACCCCGAGAGGCACCTGCTTCAGGCTATGCTCCCGACACTGCCCAAGTTCACTTCTTTTTAAGAAGTGCTTGCTTACCTGGCTGAACAGCCACCCTTGTTTTTATCAAGGGACACTAGGAGGGATCAGTTACATCCAGCTCAGTTGTACCACAAGGTACGTAAATGACCAAGCCTCCCCACAGGTTTTAACGGGGGTCCAGGGTTTGAGCCACCTTCCTATCATTTGCTGAGGTGCTGTTGTCTCCATTACCTCAAACTAAAAGGCCTCAATAAGGTTGACATTCTCGTCCAGAGTCACACAGCTGCTGAAAGTGGCCGAAAGTGGAGTTCCTACTGTGAAGTCGGTGCAGGTGACAGGTAAGGCCAGACACCTGTCAGAAATAAAGGTGTTCCCAAGCCTAAGTGGCCCTGCGATTCCAAGAAGCTGTGACAACGAGTATGTCTCAAGGGTCATTCACACTCAACTTCATGTATTTCTGTTATATCTGAGTTGTGCCCGACAATATGTTTTCTAATGTTGGTTACCCAACAACGCCAAATGCTTGTTCTGTAGACATTAACCCCAACTAGCACGCCTTGGTCAGATTTCAGCCTCACCCAACAACCTGCTGATAATGTGGCTTCCCACAGAGCTGGCTACGAGAGACGGGGCACCCGCCTAACTGACCATGCCACTGGATCCTCCACCTAATTTTCCATTTCTCATTAAGGAAGCAGGGAGATACAAAACCAGCAAAAGCACCGGAAATGCAGAGGAGCACAGAGGCACGCGGTCATTCCTAGCCACGTACAAACTCTGATTATCACATTGACACTTGACCACGTTGGAAAGCAAGGGGAAGGCTTCTCCTTTCTTTGCCCACTGCTGTATTGCATAGAAGAATTTGACCTGCAAAGGGCAGAAATTCATCCTGAACCAACTTTAAACAAAAATCAGGGTGGATATTACAAGGTATTACATTAGAGACATACAGAGATGCCCTCTGCTAGCTCACTCCCCAAAATGCCCACCATTGCTAGGGTCAGACTGAGCCAAAGCCAGGTCATAGAAACTCAATCCAGGTCTCCCATTGGGGGCAAGAACCCAATGACTTGAGCCATCACCACTGCCTTTCAGGGTCTGCATTAGCAGGAAGTTAGATTCAGGAATTAGAGCTAGGCTTCAAACCCAAATACACTGCTATCGGCTGTAGGCATTGTCACTGCTAATTGCCCACCCCAAGCATGTTTTATAGGTTAATGTAATAAAAAAAAAAAAAACCCAAAGACAGATCTCTGGTTCCAGGCAATGGACTTCTGAAGCCGTTCTCATCTTTCCTCTATGTTGCCCTTACCCTTGGGCAGATTGCCTGCATGCTGGGGTCCCAGCAGCCCCAGGTCTCATCCTTTAGCCTGGACACTCAGCAGAAAGAGATGTATAGCAGAAGGAGTCTCCTTAGCTGGGCACCCATCACATGCCTGTGTCTGAACCAGTCATTGCAGTCAGGAGTGGAATCTGCTGCTGGGTGGGTACTGTCTCTCATAGGACTGGAGGGAAATAGCAGTGGGGTGTGGGGACTGACAGATGTGAAGGAAGCCTACCATTCCCCAAAAGGGAGGAAACCAGCCCGCGGCATGGGGAAAACAATAGATAGTTGCCCAGTGCTAGACTCAAATCCCTTTTAGCTTGATATGGGAGAAATCATGCAGGGCAGAAACAACCAACTGTTGAGCTAAAGGTCGAGGAAAATTGGTTGGGTGACAGCAGGTGTTGGGGAGACTGGATTTTAGAGACAGAAGGTCCAGGACAAGGAAAGAAACAAAAGTTCTTCCACAAAGAGGAAAGCCCCTACCAAGCAGCCCCTCCAGGGATAGACCCCCACAGTGCCTGACTCTCAGGGTGATACTATGTGACCCTCAACAGGTGCCACAAGCAGCAGAGGAACCCCGCACGTCCTCCAGGTGAGATGTCCTTTGGAGAAAGTGACCGTACCATTCCACCCCCCATGCTGGATTTCCACCAAGGTCACAGGGTCACAGTTTCTGAGTGGCCGCCATATCTGGCTGTTCTACCGGAGTCCAAGTGAGCTTGAGTCAGCTGCCCAGAGACTGGCAACAGGTGCATGAGCTGATGAGATTGAGTTCCAGGAGACTGGGAACCCGACCTTGGATACTGGGAGATTCCACAAGCTCCCACCCCCTTGCGGAAGGGCCCTGGGCAGGCAGCCAGGAGGCCTACCTGGCCACACCTTGCCCTGGTTTCCAGGCCTTCCCCACAGGGCCAGACCTCGAGGAGATCACACATGAGGATAAGGCTTGGCTCACAATAGGCCCAATTAAACAGCAGCTGTTCTTTCTACTGTTGGGGAACACAGCAGGGCCACGCACACCCCACCAAGTGGCACCAATGACCAGGATCTCAGGCAGAACAAGGCACCAGGAAGATGGTCACGAATCTCTACTAACACAGCTGCTCAGACTGTAAAGGGCTGAGTCGAGGTGCAGATGCTACATGCTTGTGGGTTGTAGCTGGTTTGTTTTTTCCTGCATTTTGCTGGATTTTACCTCTCCTGACCACCACCTCCCCACCTCAACAGTGAAGAATTATCTTTCCTTAGTTTTCACCAGCTCACCTGCCTGCAGGTCAGAATCATCAAGGTGCTTACAAATTGTGTGCTTTTTCTGGATCCTGTTCATACAGACCTGTCTTGGTCTCTGGGTTCGAGGCCTGAACGTCTGCATTCTAAGACATTGTGGGCATGCTGGTGCATCCCCGAGCTCACCCTGCGCCACATCCTCCAAACACTCACCTGGCAACGGGCCCCAACAGGAAAGGCCTGATTCACTAAGGCACCACCCACTCAAGCCCTTCTATCAGGCAATTCAAAGTCTCCAGGCCGACGAGTTACTGATTAACCCTAGGTTTTATGAAAAGAAATAATAACAATTCTAGGCATAACATATGCCAAGAAAGAAGAGAGACGGCTGTGTGGGACTGGAATGCCAGACAGCTGTGATCAGCAAGTACGCGGCAAGAGCCAGGGGAGAGTTGAAACATCCAGCATCCGATCTGACTTTCTCCAGGCCCCGGCGACACCAGCTGACATCCCCTGCAAATGCTCAGGTGCTGATCCTCTGTGCTCCACCACCTCGGTGCCCAGAATGGCCTGTACCGAGGACTCGCAGCAACCCCAGGCCACCACCACAGCCATCGGCCATCCTGGCCCCGGGGAACATGACCTGGAGTGTCTGGTGTGCCGGGAGCCCTACAGCTGTGCCCGGTCGCCCAAGCTGCTGAGCTGCCAGCATGCCTTCTGTGCCGTCTGCCTGAAGCTCCTGCTGTGTGTGCAAGCAGACACCTGGTCCATCAGCTGCCCGCTGTGCCGCAAGCTCACCACTGTGCCTGGTGGCCTCATCTGTAGCCTGCGCAGCCAGGAGGAAGTGGTGAGGTGGCTGGCCCAGCCGCGGCCAGAGGTACAGCTCTGTCCTCAGGGGCTGGCAGGTGTGGTTACCTCATCCACGGCAGCTCTCCCCAGTTCTGTGGGAGAGGATGGGTTGGACACAATGAGTGCCAACCGCGTGGCAGCCCGGCGCCTGGCTGCACACCTGCTCCTGCTGGTCCTGCTCATCTTCTTCATTCTGCCCTTCATCTACCCGGGCGTCATCCGGTGGGTGCTGGCCCTCATCATTGGCCTGGCCCTGCTCATGGCCGTGATCTTCTGCTGCTACCCCCATGGCCTGAGCAGCAGTTACAGGATACTCCTCTGTGGAGAGCTGAAGCACAGCGAGATTGCCTCCATCGCCTGAGTGCCCGGGCAGCTCCTGCGGCCCCTCTGGGCCTTGGACTTCTTCACTAACAGGGTAAGGCGTTGTGCACGAAGACCGGATCCCTCTGGGACCTCATGCCAGCCAAAGCCCGAATGGCCACCTCAGGTCAAGAATTCTGCCCTTGGATGGTGGGTTTGCAGCTGCCCTGGATTTTGTGCCACTAACCGGGTTGGAGATGAGAGGGAACAGAAGGTGTAAACCATTTGGCCACTCCAAGGGGGGCCTCCTGCCCCTTTTTCCAGTGCTTCCCGGCTTTTCTTTTCTAGAACTTGATGAACATATGGAAACTGCTGAACCTAAATAGAACCAGGATTTTTTTTTTTCTTTTGCAACTGATGTGGCTCGTGCTCTTTCCTTGCTTGTGAGTCAATCGGTTTGGAGGCAGTCGGTAACACTTTTGGGGTGTTATACATCTTCTTTCTTGGGAAATGGGGACCCATGAGAAGCCCTCTTGTGCATCTTCCAGTCTCCAAGGGTCCTGGTGGTTGGGTCTCCCATTGAGTCGACCCCAGGGTGAGAAGGAAAGAAGCTACGTGGGGAGTTGGAGCTTCTGCTGTGGCTGCAGGGTGGTGCAGGTGGGGAAGCCACATCCACCTGTGGCTGGCAGAGTGGGAAAAGGCTGGAGAGGGAGGCTGTGGCGGTCTTCCCAGCATTCCCATTGTGACTCCCCAGCTCCATAGCACCAGACCCCGACTTGACCGACACTCGTGGGGTTACAAGGACCGTGCCTCAGCCCACAGCGGGGCTGTGTTACATATGCATGGGTTGTATGGATGCTGCTTTCTCTGTTACTGCATCCCATCTGCTGCTGCCATAAAGATAAGAGGTCCCATAAATGCAACGGTCCTCACCACTGACCCCACCTTTCCTGTCTCATCCTGAAAACCACAGTCATCTGAAAGGTTTTTATTTCTTCTCCCTTTCATCAGTTTTGTTTTGTAACATCCAGGAGACATCTGCCAGAAAGGAAACTGGCCTTGGCCACCAGGTACAGGGCTCTACCAGTAGGGCAGAGGGTGACAGGCCACACGGTATTTCTATCCGAAGGCTCCAGGCCTGGGCAGCTCAAAGGGGCTCATCAGGCACAATGCCCTGTCCCTGCCAGCAAGGGGAAAACCACAGGCTGAGCTCTGTTCTGTGCCTCTCTGCCTTTGTCCAAGGGGCAGGAGCACTGTGTCATTGGCACCTGGGAACTTAGCCTTGAACCACAATTATGACAACACAAAGCGAGGGCTTTGCCCCTCTGAGCTGCCTTTTCACCAAACTAGCTGGTTGAACCAAGCCATTCCCCCAAAACTCCAGAAGCCCCAAGAACTGAGGGCTCTACTAGGCCCTAGCAGAACACACATGGGTCACATCCTCCATGAACCCACATCAAGGGAAACAGAAACACCTGCATGCAGTTCACTGTTTGCAAAACGAGGGGCTTCTGTCTGCAGGGAGGCTCCTGGGGTGTCCTACACCCATACCATTGGCTTTACTCTCTCCTAGTGCTGAGGGGAGGGGGGATGCACAACAGAGAGAGATAACGCATGCGTGAATGAGTAGGTAAGCGATGGAGGGTGTGCATGGGTCAACGCCTTGAAGTCAGGCCAAGGAGACAGAGCCAAACAAGATGGCTCACTGCTTCCTGAGGTGGCCTCAGGCATGTGCGGTCTGAGATGGCTGCCAGCAGGACAGGGAAGGATTGTTCTCTCCCACCCACCCAGTCCTGTCCTATTTCTAAAGGCCTTTGCCAAGAGGTAAAGCTCCACCCAGGTTTCAGGTGCTGCTACTGACATCACTTCAGCTCTCGTAGCAGCAGGTGCACATTTACCCAATGCTGGCTGCAGTCTACAGGTACACAGCTTCAAGGAAACTTCACATTCACCCTGTCCTCTCCTAGAGGGGTAGAGACAGGGGATCAGAGAGGTGAATCCACTGCTCAGGGCTGCACAGCCAATGACTGCCAGGAGTCAACCCAGGGCCCATCCTACCCAAAACACTGCCTCATGTGTACCACCTCCACAAGAACCAGGAAGCCTGTCACCACTGTGGGCCTCTGAGGGATTCCACAGAGGACAGGAAACTAACCCAGGAGCCTCAAAATTTCAAAAAGGGGACTGGCCTAATAGCTTAGTGGGTCATGTTTCTGCTTACGATGCTGGCATCCCATAAGGTAGCAGTTTATATGTCGGCTGCTCCACTTCAGATCCACCTCCTTGCTAATGTCCTGGAAAAAAGCAGCAGCAGGCGGCCCAAGTGCTTGGGCCCCTGAAACCCATATGGGAAACTCTGATATTATTCCTGGCTTCTGGCTTCGGTCGGAACCAGCTCCAGCTGTTGTGGCCATATAGGGAGTAAATCAGCACATGAACGATCTCTATCTATCTCTATATCTCCCTCTCTACAGATAGCTATATAACCTTGACTTCCAAAATAAATCAATCTATAAAAATAAGTTCCAAAAAGGCCAAGAGCCCTAGAACCTACTATGCTAAAGAAAAGAATGACAGCAATGAGCTGTCTGCCATGTCAGCCTTGTCCCTGGTTCCAGCCCTCACTGCAGGAGCCACACCAGCTGTAGCTTTGGAGTTCCAGGTTGGAGCACCCACCTGTCCCCTTCTTGCCCTGACATGCTCACCTTACTTGCCTGAACCCTGTGAACAGCAGCAGGATCCCTTAAGTCAGTCCCTCATCAACATCCCTAGCAGGTACCCCAATCCCCAGGGCAGAGGTGCCCTGCCCCCCATCAACATCCCTAGCAGGTACCCCCAATCTCCAGGGCAGAGGTGCCTGACACTGCTCTTCCCACCCTCTTTTGGAGCCCAGCCAGCCCCAATCATCTTCTGCCCCACCCCCCAGCAGCACCAGGACAGAAAGTACCAGAATCCAGATGGGACTGGGCTGCCCTGAAGGGGAACCAGGAAAACAGGCAGTTCCACAAATAACGTGAGTGGCACTGGAAAGCTAGTCCAGGGCTCACACCCAACTCTGACCCAGTGGCAGAAGGAAGCTACAGAGGCTCCTGGAGCCTGTGTTTGCTCACCTGTGAGGCTGGCAAGGGTGGGGCCGAGTGAGGACTCAAAGTGCTGATGGGTGGGATCCAGTGTCCTGACGGGGCACTGTCTCCATCAGAGCTGTGGATCCCTGGGGAAATGCAGTGCTTGGGGCCTCTCTAGAGCAAGGACCCATCATCTGCTATCTAAAGCCTTGACAATGGACTGGAGCAGCCAGGTGGCCCAAGAGAGGCCAACCTGAGAAAGCGGCATATGTTTAGGTCCTAAAAATGGAGAGGAATGGCAGGGGCAGAGGGGTAGCCTCCATCCCTGTCCGACCCATTAGCCTGCTCAGTGGCCTCCAAGGCAGCCCTGCCTGGCTGAAATTCCAGCTTCAACACTTACCGATTACTTGCCTCATCTCTCCAAGAATCAAATCCCCCAGGGTCGCTGGAGGTCTTTGTGACAGTTCCTCACGGAGCACTCTGTCGCATCAGGAAGTGGAGAAGAGAGGGAGAGGTTGGGAAGAGAGCCAGGGCCAAGGGCTGGAAAAGTAGCATGGCTGTGATAACGGACTCTGATTAAACGCCAGCATCCGCCTCCTCTATCAACACCAGCTCAGCACCAGCCACGTCCCTGGCAACAACAACATTTGTTGACGTTATTTGATGGTGCTGTGCCAAGCACGTTGCCTACCTTATCACACAGGCTGTAAGTTAGGGCTTCCAATGGCTGGAGGTGGGTCGACAAGGACCCCAAGGCACAGAGAGGGCCAGTGACTTGGTCGAGATCTCACAAGGAGGTGGTACCAGGGATGGACAACTGCCTGAGTCTGACTCCGGAGTCTGAGTTTTATATCCCTTTACCTTTATTATACTAGACGGAATGTTCTGGGCACATCACACACATTTGAGGTACATGAAGCTTTACTTTAAGAGTGAAGAATTAAGACAAGCTGGCATTTCCCCATTTGGTTTCAGATTCTTGGTAGAGGGGCTACCTGGGACAGAGGGGTGCAGGAACCTACCTGTACATGGCAGTCCTTCACCTCACAGCTCTGCCTCATTGCTGTAAACCAGATGGTGCTACTGAGCCTTTGTCACTTCAGTTCTTGGTGGCAAAGCAGGTCACTGGTAGGAATTTTCTGGGTCATCTCCAAGCAGGGTCAGCCCAGAGCATACTCAGCTAAAATGCCTGGGGCTGTTTTAAGAACTTTCTGGGTATCTTGAAGTCAGTTTTCGAGAGACGAGGGGAGAGGAAGTGGAATTGTAGGGAATTCTCTAAAGACTTCAGAAACCCCATCCAGGATCCTTCCAGGCAGGTCTTTACAGGTGTGCTGTATGTCTCATGCTTACCTGGTGAGGAAGGAGGCGAAGTATGAAATATGCTGTGAGTTGTGAGCTGAATTCCCCAAGCCCTTGCAAGCAAAGCCAAGCTGCAGTTCTCCCCAGGGCCTCGGAGCCTGGCCTGCTTTGGAACGAGGGTCTATAGAGGCCACCAAGTTAAAATAAGGTTCTTTAGTGTGGTTCCTGACTCAGTAAAACTAGTGATTTATAAAGAGGGCATATCTGGACCCAGGCTGGTATGGAAAGAAAAGGAAGATGGCAAGAAGATCCAAGGGACAGACGTCATACAAAGGCCAAGGCAGGGATCAGGGTGTGTCCACAGGCTGAGGAATGCCTGCTGGGGCCAGCCACCCACTGGGAGCTGGGACAGGTTCTCCCTCCTGTCCCCCAGCAGGAACCTACCTTGCTCACCCTTTGACCTACGACTTCCAGCCTCCACAAATGGGTGAGGCCACACCTTGGAGCAATGGAAGCCAGAGGATGGTATTCCCTTGGCATGGCTGCCCTAGGAGGCCAACATAGCACCTGTTTGTGAGTGACAGAGAGGGAGGGAGGGAAGGAGAGAGAGAGAGAGAATTTCCCACCTTCTGATTCATCCTCCAAATACCTCCCACAGTTAGAACCAGGCCAGGCCCAAGCCAGGAGGCAGCAACTC